AAATCTCAATCTGGGTAGGGTGACTCATACCTGTAACACAAGCACTTATGAGGCTGAGGGAGAATCCTGGGGTTCAAGGCCAGCCTGGGCTACATATTGAGACCCCCACCTCCACCCCTGTGCAGACCACGAAGCCATCAAGGCTCGAGTCCTTGCTTCTCTCCATCCCTTGTACCAGCACCAGCATAAGGAGAAGCTCCTTGCTGCCTTTGGGTCCTTTCATCCCTGACCTCCTTGGAGAGATTTATGGCTTCCGGGCATCTACAGGCGTGTCCTCTGAACTTTAGGCACTGTGAACAGTCTGAGTATGTTAATAAGACCCGCTTGTTTCCCTGGTTAATGTTCCAGTTGCTCCCAGTGCCTTTAGGTAAACCTCAGGAGGGTTGTACTTATGTTCCAGGTTCTAGCCCTTGCCCCCTCCTCTGCCATCATCTCTCTCAGTGCCTGGGTGACTCACTGGCAGCCCCTCCACTTTCCTTGCCTTTGCAATGCTGTTCCAGCTCTTCAGGGCCCATCCTCTCATATTCTCAGATCGCTCCACGGCCTCCTCTGACCTTTTAGGCTCGGCCCCTCCTCCCGCTGAGCTCCCAGAGCTCTGGGTAATTCTGCTGTTAGCACTTAGCTCACTGACTTAGAATTATCTGTTTACATGTCTCTCCTCCCCAGGACAGGGATCATACTCCTTTATCGTCCTAATCCTGGTTCCAACAGCACCTCCTCGAGTACCTGGCTTTCAGCTGAGACTAAGCTAAAGTTCGCAGACTAAATGACCAAGTCCTCTGTCCTGGGCCTGAAACGTCACTATTTGGTTCCTGGTCCTGTTTGCTACGCTTTCCCACAGCTGGGGCCTCTCTTCTCACTCCAACAGCTGATCAAGCCTCCCCAGGCTCTGGGGGTAATTGCAGCCTTCACCCAGAGACATTTAATAAGCCAATTTGCACAAGAGCAGGAGACTCAACTTCCCATTGAACTTGGATGCAAACTCCACTCTTGGGCCTTGGGGTCCTGACTTCTGTCATAGCCCATGAGACAGATAGCTCTTCAAGAAACTACTCCCCTAGATCTTTGGCCATTATCTACACTCGGGTCTCTAAGATGTGTCCAGCCTGGCCCCTGCCCATGGGCAGGGCTCAGTAAGCCAGCATCTCTGACGCCCACTTCCCTTCTCGGGCGGCAGACAGACCCTTCCTGGGCTCCTGTAATGTGCCAGGCTCGGGGTCTCCATTGTGACAGAGTTCAGTTGCAGTGCAATGTCACATACCTAGGCACAATCCCAGTGCTACAGTTTATTCAGAGCTAGGACAAGGACACAGGGGCTGTGGGTATAGGATAAGGTGATCCCTGCAGCCTCAGAGATGTAGGAGCTGAGGTTGGCCCAAAGGAGATGGTGTGGAGTGGCTGTCCTCTTGGTTGAGGCATCTTCGGAGGGAGGGTCTGGAGAGTGACCCCCTCTACAGCCCAGAGCTCTCAGCCGTGTCCAGGGTCTAGCTGGCCTCACTTAGGGCACTGTGCTCAGAGTGGACCCTAAGGAACCAAGCATGCTTGCCAAAGCTTCCCCCCAACACTTTTTTTTTTTTTTGGTTTTTTCAAGACGGGGCTTCTCTGTGTAGCGTTGGCTATCCTGGCACTCGCTCTGTAGACCAGGCTGACCTCGAGCTCACAGAGATCCGCCTGCCTCTGCCTCCCAAGTGCTGGGATTAAAGGCGTGCGCACCACCACCTGCCTGCTTCCCCCTCTCAATCAAGGAACATTTATTGAGTCCCCACCCTGTGCCAGGGACTAAAGTAGGATCAGGGTGGGGTGATGAGGACACCAAGGCACAGTCTCCACTCCAAGGTATCTTGGTCTGTAAGGGCAAAAATCACCAGGAGGGTACAACCTGGGAGAGTGGAGGACTTCAACAGAATGGAGGGAGCTACCTCCTCCCAGCCTGATGGCGGAGGGTGCATTCTGCCCAGCCAAGTGATGAAGGAACACCCCCAACTCAGCCTGAATGTGGAGAGAACATCCCCAGTGGGTGGAGGCAGCGCCCTGACCCAGCCAGCTGGTAGAGAACCACTGTCAGGCAGATGATGGCTGAACCCAACCCAGGCAGCCACTTCCGAGTGTCCCAACCCCTTCGCACGCAGCCCATGAGTCTGATTAGACAGGTGGCCAGAGGAGTGTGTGCCCAGTCTCCTGGCGTCCCCATATGACCTGTAACAATGTCTTAGAATATTCAGAGGGAGGCAGCAAAGCACAAGGAATTTGGGGTCCTACATTTGGCTTCTGATGCTGCCTAATCACTCAGTATATGGGTTCTTCTCTCTCCGAGCCTCCGGCCGCCTGTGTCAATCAGGTTTGGGCTTTGTATCGCACCCCGCCCCCCCCCCCCGGATTTCAGGAAGCTTCCAGAAAATAACTGTGGGATGCTGTGCCCTTGGTGGATGCCAGGCTTAGGCTTGTCGATTTTGACAATTATTTCCAATGTCTGGGAGACTCAGAGCCTCTGGGTCCCTAGAATGGCCGGGTAGAGGTAGCAGTTAATGCAAGGCCAGCCTGAGCCAGCCTTGAACTGCTCGTGTATCCTCTCCGCCCCCGCAGAAGGGCCTGCAGGTGTCGATGGCTGCCGGCACTCTCATCCCTCGCGCTTGGCCGCGGCCCCACCTCCCTCTTGCCGTCTGCCCTGCGTCCTCCTCTAACCTCCGGGCTGGACCAGCCAGCCGCCGGGCTGGGAAAGTTTGAGTCACGCCGCGGGGCTGCTGGGGAGGGGAAGGGGTGCGGAGGCGGGGTGGGCGTTAGGAACCGCCTCGGGCTCCCACCAGGGGGACTCCGCCGCGCCCCTGTCTGGTGAACCCACTGAAGCGAGACAGCATTGCTACCTCTCACTGCGACCTGCGCGTCCCATCGCTGCTGCAGCCTCCGGCTCAGCATGACGCCCGGCGCGCGGCTCCTGTCGCTGCTAGTGGAGGTCTCCACGGTAGTGGCGGTGGTCGCGTCTGTCGCGCCCACGACGGCGCTGTCCCCTGCCACAGGAGGCGCCACCCTGGCCTTCGTCTTCGATGTCACCGGCTCCATGTGGGATGATTTGATGCAGGTGATCGACGGCGCCTCGCGCATTCTGGAGCGCACCCTGAGCAGCAGCAACCGAGTCATCGCCAACTATGCGCTGGTGCCTTTCCACGATCCAGGTAGCTCCCTGTGCAGTCTTCGAGGTCGGCCCCCATCCCCCACCCTGCGCGCGCCCTGGTTTCCCGGTGCACCTGGCCCTCTGTGGGGAGCGCGATGGCAAAGCCTGAATGCCTTCTAGCACATTCCCGCTGCCTGGTTACGCCCTCTCCTGCATCCCCCAGGTTGGCACTGTCCAGGTTGAGAGTTTCTAGTAGGCGACCTCACCCTTCTGAGCATCACCCTCCGTCTGTGAAATGAGAAAATTTGTTGAGAGGTTGGCAGCATTTGCCAGGAGCCTGTGAGGTTTTCGTTTCTGGACTTTCCTTCCTTCCTTCCTTCCTTCCTTCCTTCCTTCCTTCCTTCCTTCCTTCCTTCCTTCCTTCCTTCCTTCCTTCCTTCCTCCCTCTCTTTCCTCTTTTTGAGGCAGGATCTCATAGAGCCCAGGTGGTCTCTAATTTGCTACCTAGTGGAGGAAGACCCTGAACTTCTGCTGCAGCTTCTAGAGAGCTGGGATCACAGACCTGCACCAACACATCCTCTTATCCAGCACTGGGGATGGACCCTGGGGCTCCATGCAGGCTAGGCAAGCACTCTGTGGGTGCTGAGAATTGAACCCAGGTCCTTTGGAAGAACAGGCAATGCTCCCAACTGTTGAGCCATCTCTCCAGTCCCAACACTTTTTTTTTTAATGAAAAAAATTTCAGACTTACACAGAAGTAGGAGAGAAGTAGGGATTTGAGCTCCTCTACACTCCTGCCAGGCTTCTGAGAGTTCTCTTTGTTCTCTTTAAAGCCAGTTGCTCTGTCTGTCCACATGTCTATCCAGGCTAACTCTAAAGACGGTTATCACCAAGACAGATTCCATGCAGCGCTGACAGCAGAGAGTGCCTGAGGAGGCACACCAAGCTGTGTCAAGCTTCTCAGGGGTACATTTGTCAATCACAGAATCTTCCAGGGGTTTGACTCCCCACTCCCCCAGTCTCGGGCTCTGGTGTCTGAAGTTTTGCCCTCTGCTCTGTGGGGCTCCCTAGCTGTAAGCCTAGGAACCAGGGCTCAAGGAAAAGCCTCCTGGGATCCCAAAACGGATAGTGAGTTTGGATGCTCTGAGAACCGTAGGCCAGCCTCTGTCTCCCCAACTCTCTGTCCCCCACTTTCTGTTTCTTGGTCTTCTAAAGGCATTACTACACTGCATGCGAGGGCTGGGGGTGCTTAGATATGATCTTCTAGATGGAGTGACTAAGACCCAGGGAACCAACAAGGTTTCCTGAAGCCACCTGTTGGATGGATGATGCTATTTAGAGACAGTGTTTGTCTCTAAAATGCTTGGCTCCCATTGCAGGATGGGACAAGCAGGTTTGTTTGTTTTGTTTTGTTTGTTTTTTGTTGCTTTTGTTTTTAGACAGGTAGTGTCTTGAGCCCAGAACAGGGCTTCTGAAGGTTATCCTTGCTGCACCTTCCTGGCCACTAATTTCAGATGCCCTCGGGGCACTGAGTGGGTATGTGGCCACCAACCTTCAAGGCTTAGCCCTTCCCTCCTTTTCTTCCATTCTCTGTTCTCTATCCCTTTCCTTCCATGTTTTTCTCTGTGCTTCCTTTTATTTCCTTATTTCTAATTTTAGATACTCATTTGTGTGTGCATATGCACTTGCCATGGCATGTATGTAGAGCTCAGAGGACAACTTGCAGGAAACAGTTTTCTTCCAGCGTATGAGTTCTAGAGCTGGAACTTAGGCTGCCTGGCTTGGTGGCAAGTACCTTATCTTGCCAGACCTCTGTACTTCACTTTAAAACCATTAATTTTTAAATGATGCTCATCTTTTTAAAAAATTGGCAGTAAAGTACAAGTCCAACTTCTCATCAAAATGAAGTTTATCTCAGATGTAAAGGAACTTTTCCAATTGAAAATGGCCCTCCAGCTGCCAGGAAATGAAAGCTTGCAATGCAACTTGCTTAAAAAAGAATAGTAGTCATCATTAAGAGCAAACATACATACAAAGCTCCACAGCCCTGTTCGTCCTGTTCCCACGGCTTTGAAGGGACTGGGATGCTCTAGAGAGGACCAGGGATGCTCCAGAGAGGACCAAGGATGCTCCAGAGAGGACCAGGGATGCTCCAGAGAGGACCAGGGATGCTCTAGAGAGGACCAGGGATGCTCTAGAGAGGACCAGGGATGCTCCAGAGAGGACCAGGGATGCTCCAGAGAGGACCAGGGATGCTCCAGAGAGGACCAGGGATGCTCCAGAGAGGACCAGGGATACTCCAGAGAGGACCAAGGATGCTCCAGAGAGGATCTGTATGCTCTAGAGAAGACCAGAGATGCTTTAGAGACTTCTAGCTGATTTTGAAAGAACATATGAAGTTTTTGTTTGTTTAACACCCTGGAAAGCTTTGCCATAGCGACTCCATTTCTGGTGCAGAGGGGGCGGGCATCTGTAAACACTGGGGTAGACAAGAGTGTAATTGGAAAGAAAGCTGAACTCCAAATTTGGATGTGTAGTTGCAATGTACTCTTCTTCATGAAACCTTGTGTTTCTTTGGAGCTCAGGTTTCTACCATGCATTAGAATGCACAAACATTTATCCTAACAATTTTATGTTCAGTTTTATAACAGGGAAATAATTTTAGGGAGGACATGACCTCAGGCGGTGAATAAGGGGGCTGTCTCTGTTTGAATCTGCCGAGCATGTGCCCTCATCTGGGCACCTCACTTTAAAAAGTTAAATGACACGTATTTGTTATTTGTATGCATGTGTGTGTATGGAGGTCAGAGAATAACTGACCGGAGTCAATGTTCTCTTCCACCGTGGGGTCCTCAGGATTGATGCAGGCACCTTCCCCTGCTGAGTCATCTCACTGGCCCGGCACAAACAAACAAACAACCCCCCAAACAACAGTAACAATAAGCAAACAAACAAATAAACAAACAACCCCCTCAAACCAAACCGTCCTCCCTAAAGCTACCCCTAGGACCTATACTGAGGAGGCTGCAGGCTAGTGAGGGCAGTTAGGGGGTGCAGAACATGACGTGTGCTGCTGGGCATGGTGGCTGAGGCAGGAGGATTGCCCAACTTCAAGATACTGTCTCAAAATGAGAAGTGGAGGGAGAGTCACTGAGGTATAGCGCCTGGCCATCTCTCAGGTCACAGGGGAGACACTGAGGTATAGCGTCTGGCCATCACTCAGGTCACAGGAAAGTCACTGAGGTATAGCGCCTGGCCATCATCACCCAGGTCACAGGGGAGACACTGAGGTATAGCGCCTGGCCATCTCTCAGGTCACAGGAGAGGACACTGAAAGACTGAGGGAGCAGTGTTATAGGAGGGAACATTGGATGCTCCTGCTAGGGACGCACTGGGAACAAATGATTTCCTGGGGTGAATGGCTGGCTGGGTGAAGGCTGGAGACATGTGGGGACAGGTGTGTGTGTGAGTTCTGCAGCTCTCCTGGTGGAAATGGGACGGAGTGGGTCTGGCTATAGCCAACCTTGCCTGCTGCCTGCTGCCTGTAGCTGCCAAGGACTAGGAGGCCCTGAATTTCCTTGTATGGGCTTGGAGCGCTGTGTCCTGAGCAGGCATTGCAGCTGGGTTCCTGTTGTGTCTGCTGAATCAGCAAATGGAATGCCCTTCAGTAGGAGATGAACTTGAGATACAGAGGTTTCTGATCTGCTCCCCCCACCCTGCCCCGTCTGTGGGAGACACGGGAGGGGGTGTGTAGGGGTGTAGGGGGCTGCAGGGGATGTGGAGGGGTGTGTGGAGAGGGTGTGGAGAGGTATGCAGGGCCTCATTGGTGCTTCTAGGGATGCACAGCCTTGGAAACAAAGGTCTTAAGCTTTGGAAATAGCTTTAGTATGTCTTTCATTGCAAAAAGCAGGGCCAAACTTGACGGCCTAAGTTTGATCCACAGAACCTGGATGTTGGAAGGAGAGAACTGACTCCCAAAAGTTGTCCTCTGACCTCCACGCCTGTGTCCTCCCCCAATAAGTTAATGAAGAAGGGGCTGAGAGATGGCTCAGCAGTTGAGAGTGGACCCAGGTTTAACTCTCAGCACTCACGTGGGGGCTCATAACTGGAGTCTGTAGCCCCAGAGGCCTGAAATCGAAGGTTTTAAAAGCCATAACCGGGTGTGGTTTAAATTCCTGTAGTCCCTAGGACCCGGAAGGCACCGAGGCAGAGGCAGGAGAATCACATTAGAGAGTGGCCAAGCTACATAGCGAGCCCTACTTCCAGTGAACAAACAAACAAATGAGGCACACTGGACAATTTCCAGAGAGAGTAGTGGCATATTTTCTGTCACATTTGACTGGAATGTAGATAGTTTTCTGATTCCCTCCAGTAAATGATACACCTCCCCCCCATTCCCAGGGTGACATTGTCTGTGGCTTTGACTAGCTTTGGTGCAGTGGAATTCCTAGGTCATTTTTTGCATTGGAGGTGGGTGGTGGCTCTTCAAGTCTATAGAACGTTCTGGGCATTTGAGAGGCCATTCTTACCACAGCTGCTCCCACCTCCTGGGGGAGGGGGGTAGGTTTTTGTTTGCATAGCTCACGAGGCTCAGGACAGTTTGAAGTGCTCATTAGCGTGCCTGTCCCTCCCTCCCTCTCTCCCTCCCTCCCTCCCTCTCTCCCTCCCTCCCCCTGTGATTTTCTTCTATGCATTGTCATTTCACTGTTGGTTCTTGTTGGGGTTGGGGAAGCAATTGGTTTTCTTCCTAATTCACTTGAGGACATTATGTTGGTGGCGTAAACAACTTGTTTAGTATTCAACTGCCCTGGGTGGGGGAAGCAATGGGTGGAGCCCATGCCACCAAAAAGTCCTTCCACTGAGCTGTGTCCCTGCCCACTGGTCAGTTACCTTTCCATGTTGTTTGTGAGTCCGGGTCTTCAATTTTTGTATAAAGAAATCTACTGACTTTTTTTCTTCTTTGTGTTTTTTTTTTTAAATTTCACTTGTAGACTTACAATGATGCTTTTTATTTTTCCATCATAAAATTAGACACAGATTTAATTGTTTTGTTCTTGTTTTCTTGGCGTTGAATCCCTTTACCTGTAATTAAAAATGAACTGGCCTGCAGTGTAAAATATCTAATACAGAACCAGGTGATGATGACACACGCCTTTAATCCCAGCACTCGGGAGGCAGAGGCAGGAGGATCTCTGTGAGTTCGAGGACAGCCTGGTCTACTGTTCAAGAGCAGCCAGAGTTGTTATTCAGAGAAACCCTGTCTCGAAAAACAAACAAAAACCCTAATATAATTTTATATTATAACTAAATATAATTATTAAAAGCAATTACCTATTTCAGTTCATCTTATAAAACTATCCTTGCTCTGTGCCCATGTGCAAACGGGGTCTGAACTCCGGCCCTCATACTTGGGAGGCAGGCATGTTACTGACTGAGCCTTCTCCCCACCCGTATCCTTTCTTTTTCATCTCTTGGCTCTTGCTTTGTTCCCAGATTACCTAACAGGGTAGGAATATGCCTGGTTTTCCATTCTTTCTGTCACACTGTGATTCTTGTGCCAAGAACACACTATTTTAATTATTAGTCTTAATAACAAATGTTAAGGGAGCTGCCCCTGTTCCCTGTTATTATGACAATGATTCTTTGTTTTCTGAGACAGAGTCTCACTATGTAGCTCAGGCTAGCCTGAAACTCAAGGTGATTGACCTGCCTCTGCCTCTGAGTGCTGGGATTAAAGGCGTGTACCATTATGTCTATCTTTTGTTTGTTGGTTTGTTTTGTTTTTTTGAGATGGTCCTTATGGAGCCCAGTTTGGCCTGTAACTTGCTATCCAGCCCAGGGTGGCCTAGCACTTGGCCTTTAACTGCTGACCCTCCTGGTTCCACCTCCCAGACGTTTGCCACTGTGCTCCACTACTTTTTTCTATTTTTGTTTTTGAGCTAGTTTTGCTATGCAGCCCAGGCCGGCCTTGAACTCACAATCCCTCTGCTCAGCTTCCCAATTGCTGGGATCACATACATTCATGCTCTCTTACCCAGTTTTATGTTCTCTTTTTTTAAAAAAATGACATATTTTTATTTTATGTGCATTGGTATTTTGCCTGCATGCGTGCATGCCTCTGGGTGTCTCTGTGTGTGTGTTTGTGCATCAGATTCCCAGAAACGGAGTTACAGACAGTTGTAAACTGCCATGTGGTTGCTGGGAATTGAACCCATGTCCTCTGGAAGAGCAGCCAGTGCTCTTAATCACTGAGCCATCTCTGCAGCCCCTTATTTACCTATTTAGTTATTATGAAGTTATGTATGTCGCTTGGCATGGAAGTGCAGGGTTGTTTTTTTTTTTTAAATCTTGGTTCTACTCCAAGACTACTTGGTTTGTTTCCTGGCTCAGCCCCTTCATGCTTTCTTCCTTGGAAGTTTATTTGCTTGACTTCTATGTTGCCAGCTATATTCCGATGGAGCACAGAAGAGGTTTTAAAACGTTGTTCTTATTTACTAATACATTTATAACTCTGATACAAAGTCTCAAACTTTGCTGTCTAGCTCCTGAGAGTGACCTTGAACATCTGATTCTCCTGCCTCCCTTCCCTGAGTTCTGGGATCACAGGTGTGCACCAAATTCCCTCATGCCACTCTGGCAAGGAACCCAGGGCTCAGTGCATGCTGGGCAGGTGGCTCTGCTAACCGAGCCACAGCCCCAAGCCCTACATTGTTAACTTTGAACACTCCTGGACACTGAAAGATGCTGCCGGCACCCATTGTACAGAACTAGCTCTTTTCCCGAGGATTCCTGGTCGCTTTTGTTGGGGAATGGTGTTAGCAGCCAGGCTTTGGTGCTAAATGTGGTGTGGCTGCTTAGAGGGCTCCACTTCTGAGCCCCCTTCATGACAGAGCGGGGAGGTCTGAGCATAGGGAACTTGCATGTGCTTCTTTTTTTTTTTTTTTTTTTTTTTTTTTTTTGGTTTTTCGAGACAGGGTTCCTCTGTGGCTTTGGAGGCTGTCCTGAAACTCACTTTGTAGACCAGGCTGGCCTCGAACTCACAGAGATCCGCCTGCCTCTGACTCCCAAGTGCTGGGATTAAAGGCGTGCGCCACCAACGCCCGGCTGCATGTGCTTCTATCAGTATTTCTAATTAAAAAAATTTTTTTAGTCAGCAGACATGTGTCATGCATGCTCATGGAGGTCAGAGGACAACGTGCAGAAGTCAGTTCTACCATGTGGGTCCCATGGGGTCCAGTTCTAAGCCTTGGCGGCAAGCACCCCTATCCGCTGAGCCATCCTGCTGGCCACAGTGTTTCTAGATATAATAATTTTGACTGTCAGTTTGATTGGATGAAGAAACACCTCAGGCATTAATGGGGCATACTCTTGGTTATGCTTATGAGGGGGTTTCCAGGGAGGATAGACTGGGGAAGGGGAGGATCACCCTAAATGCAGACATCAAACCCTTTCAGTGGAGGGTTCCAGCTGAGTAAAAAGGGGAGGAGTAGGAAGCCAGCGGACGCTGGTGGATCATGAGTGTTCCCTGCGGGGTAGGTACTTCCTGACCTGTAGACACAAGGCGTCCTAGTACACGCTCTCCACACCATCAACTTTACCATTTCCTCCCAGAACTATGGACCACAGCCTCTTAACCATGGGTGCCAATGCACACCCCCCACCCCTGCTTCTGCTCTGTATCTCATCACAGCAACAGGAAGGATGCCCAACACACAGCCATGTTCCTCCAAGCGGAGCAAGCCTCATACTGCTGTCTCCAGCGCAAAATCACTACCACATGAGTCCTAGTAGGCTCTTCCCATGTAGAGCCAGGCCGGACACATGTGGCTTATCTCTAACCTCCCGTTCCAATGCTGACAAACCTGGCTTCCCGCATCTGTCTGCCGTCCATTTACATCATTATTCCATTCCAGCATGGACAGGCATGGGTTCAGAATCGTTAACTCCTAGCCCTGTGGGAAATGGCCTTACTAACTAAGGCCTGATTTATTCTCCTTTGTTCTCTAGACCCCTTTGCTAAAGTGACTTAAACCAATTTCTTCCCCTATTTTTAAACTTCTTTTCATTTTGTTGTTTTTATGGTGCTAAAGATGGAACCCAGAACCAAGCTCTTGCTTCCTATTGTTTTGAAACAGAGTTTCATGTGGCCCAGGCTCCCTGTGTTCCCAAGGATGATCCTGAACTCCTGATTCCTCTGCCTTCACCTTCCAAGCACTGGGATTGCAGGGTGCACTACCGTGTTGATTCCTCGTGCATTCTAAGCATGTATTCTGTTGCTTAGCAACATTCCATCCCTGCATAGTCTTCATTTTCAAACTATGCTGAAGTATTTATTCTTTCAGATGAAATATTAGGTAACAGAAAACCCCTGTTAACTTCTTTAAAAAATTCTTAACAGCTGGAGAGATGGCTCAGCAGTTAAGAACACTAGACGCTCTTTCAGCTCAAGTTTGGTTCCAGCAGCTACTCTGGGTAACCGACAACTGCCTGTAAGTTCAGTTCTAGGGGACCTAGGGCCCTCTTCTGGACTCTGGGGCACCTACACTCAGGTGCACACAGCTATATATTCGAGCTCCCACTGCACATGGGTGTGCACCCCCCCTCACATATACAAGTCAGGTGTGGTGATGCACACTTTTAATCCCAGCGGGCAGGAGGCAGAGGCAGAGGGACATCTGTGGGTCTGAGGCCAGCCTGGTCTACATAGTGAGATCCTGCCACATAAATAAATTTAATTAAATTAAAATCCTCTGAAAATTTCATCAATTCTTGAATTTAGCTATAATTTTCATTTGAAGGGATCCACCTGTCCCCCAAGTCCTCGTCCTGCTTGTCCCCCTGCTTCCATTTGCCAGACTCTATGTGTTTCCTACAAATTCCTCCAATTCAGGTAAGATTTTTTTTGGTTTCTCTGTAGCTGTGAAGACTGTCCTGGAACTTGCTCTGTAGACCAGGCTGGCCTCAAACTCACAGAGATCCACCTGCCTCTGCCTCCCGAGTGCTGGGATTAAAGGCGTGCGCCACCAACGCCCGGCTAGTTAAGATCATTCTGAACTGCATCCTCTCCCGCTTGTTCCCATTTTGGCCAGGATGTTTCTATCCATATTTCATTTTGAAAGTCTGTATTTCTGGAGTGTTGGTGAGCAATTTATTTTTATACATTTATTACCTTTCAAACTTTTTTACTGAAGGCATGTGTGTGTGTGAGCATGTGTGTGTATGCCTGTGTTTGAATATGTGCATCTGTATGCATGTGTGTGTACATTCATGTGTGTGTGTGTACATTCATGTGTGTGTGTGTGTGTGTGTGTGTGTAGGTCAGAGGTCGATTCTGAGTATGTTCCTTGGTCTCCCTCCACCTTGTCATGTACAGGTCGACTCTTTTAGTAGTTGGTGGGTTGTTTCTTGGTGCCGGGGATCAAATCCAGGGCGTTATGTGCTAAACACATACTCAACCACCGAGATACAGCCTGAGCCCTGGGACGCTGGCTCTTGATTTGAAGGTTTTTGTTTTGTTGTTGTTGCTGTTTTATTTTTTAAATCATTAGGTGAAGGATGACAGTTTTATTTCTAACACCCCAAACCAAAAGGTAGAAAAACTTAACCAGAAGAAAAACCTAAATAAATAAGAAGCAAAAACAAACAGAAAGAAAAAAGTCCAATGATAGAGTGGAGGGTGCTGCTCAGTGGGTAGAGAGCTTGCCTAGCATGCACAGGGTGGTTTGGTCCTTGGCACCACGGAAAGCTGGGAGTGGAGATCCACAGCTCTGCAATCCCAGCACTTGGTAGCTGGAAGAGACAGGATTGGAGATTCCAGGTCATCCTCTACTATACAGGGAGTTTGAGGCCAGCCTGGGCTCAACACACAATAAAACACCCACATACACAAAAGAAAATCCTCCGTGGAGTTTGGGAGTGGGTACTGACTTACAGGTAAATTCCCAGCTTTTGTTGTGACATTGCTAGGTTCTGTTTCCCATTGACCCACATATACAATCTCTTCCTTGTGGCTGGTTCCCACATTCCTTGCTTTAGTCCTGTGGTCCGGGTGGCTATTCTCTTCAATGCTAAGCTGGCTTCTCACCCGAGTACACGTGCAGGAGTTTTGCATTTGGGTTAATCTGTGCAAACCATCCAGGAAGCTCTTCCTTTCTGCTCTTTCTCAAAGCTTTGGCTCAGCGTTCAACTCTTCCAGTTAATAATCTGTTTCCCTCAAACACTGCCAGACTGGGACTGGGGTTGGAGCGCAGCAGAGCAAGGCCCTGGGCTCCACTGCAGCACCCAACCCCAGCCCCAAAGAAGCAAAATGAATATACATTTATAAAACATTCTAATAACACAGTGTTCAAGAAATGCAAATTTTAACATTCCAGGCCGTGTGTGTGTGTGTGCTTGTGTGTATGTGATTATGTGTGCATGTATGTGTGCATGTAACACGTATATAGCCAACTTACACACAAATACCCCCTCTTTAAACATTTATTTGCGTGTGCAGTTCCATGAATGTGGAGGTCAGAGGAAAATCTTTGGGAGTCCATTTCCCCCTTCACCATGTGGGTCATGGGAGTTAAGTTCAGGTTGTCAGGCTTGGTGATAAACACCTTTACCCACTGAACCGTCTCAGCTGCTCTTGTATGCATACACAACCTTAATTTTTTCAAAGTGATCACTTTAAAGTATACCTATACTCATTTTTATTTTATGTGTGTACGTCTGCTTATCTATATGTGCAGTGCATACATGCAGTGCCCACAGAGGCCAGAAGAGGATGTCAGAACCCCCTGAACTGGAGTTTCCAGTGGTTGGGAGCCACCTAGGTCCCTGTAAAAGAAACAAGGGATCTTACTGCTGAGCCATCTCTCCAGCCCCTATAATCTTAACTTTTAAACTTACAGAAAATGGAGTGTTTAAAATACCCCCACCCTAGTGAGCGCCAGATTATGGCTACCTTTCCATGTTGAGACATTCATTTTTTTTCTGCCTTGTTTTTGATGGCTATAGAAGACACCTCAGGAGACATTATCTTAACTTTTTGCACATCCCCTACTGTGTGAAGCTGGTTGCTCCCTGCCTTGTAGCAGACGCACATCACTGGGATGTGTCTGCAGGATGCATTCCTGGAAATGAAACCGCTCTGGGAAGAAGTGGCCCCTGGGAAAACTTCCCCGAATACTGCCCTGCCTAAGACACATTGGGAGCCTGTGTTTATCACATCCTGACCTACATCTGTCTGTTCAGTGTGCTATAAGAAGTTGACAGATGACGTAGGGTGTCCTGTGTTAATTTGCATATGTCTCCCAGAGTCCCCCTTGCCTTTGGTCTCCAGGTAGGCTGCCATCCTGAAGGAGGGGGTTTCTGTTGGCTGCACTGGACTCACGCTGCAGTCCTCGGGACTCTCCTGGACAGCTTTTAGCATGCATGGCAGCTACCGGAATGCATGTGTGTGTGGAGGTCTTTACTGGCTCCCTCCACCCTGATTTTGCGATTAGCTCCCCAGCCTGAGGAGCTTCAGTCCCTCAGTCTGGCGGTTCTCCCTCATTTAATCTAAAGGCTTTTACCCCCTTGGCCCAGGAGTCCCCCTCCCTCAGCCTTGGGTTTCTTTCCCTTAGGCTGGAGGTCTTCACCCACTTAGCCCAGGGCTTTTCCCTGCTTAGCACAGGGGTCTTCATTCCCTTAGCTTTGGGCTCTTTCCCCTGTAGCAGGAGAGGCCCACGGGATTCCCGGCCCTTAGCCAGGGGCTCCTCCTCCCTTGGTGCCTCTCCAGGGAGACTGGAGACCAGGTATCTGTGAGGCATCAGCCACATCAGGCTGTTCCCCGTCATCCTGGGGAAGTGAATCCTGAATGTATCCTGGGGACCGGGCTGGCTCACATCACATCAGCGGCGGGACTGGGCCAGACATTTCCTTGTCAAGGGGTTTTCCGGCCCGAGTCTTTTCAGGGGAGGGAGGTTAGGAGAAGGTGGAGGGAAAGGGAGAGGTGGGGGCTGGATGCCTGGGGGGTGTCAGTGGAAAGGAGTGATGGATCTGACAGTGGAGGCCCCCAGAGAGGTGGGGTGTGGAGTGAGCTCAGCCTCCTTGGGCTAACCTTACACAATAGGTAAGGCTGGAAGGATTACCTTAGGCCAGGCAGGTGCCAGCAGGTCCTCAGTGAAGTCAGAAAGGCCCAGAGCCCCACACTCCTGGTGTCTAGTCCTGGTGGCAGTTGCTCCTGAAATTGCATTGCTGAGTCGAGGTGTCAGCTGGGCGGAGAAGGAGGATCAGACAGGACTGGGAACAGCATCCTGGGTAGAGGGAATAGCAAAAATAGACTAGAAGCTCTGAGGCCAGCAGGACCGTGGTCCAGCACACACTGAACAAACAGCAGCGACTGAGCCAGGATCCACTGAGTATCCAGGAAAAGAAGCCCTGGCAGGGTCTCTGAGGAGTTTCTGGACTCCTGGGGAGAGGGGAGGCTCTGGGACCATTTCTGCCACCAGTTTAGTGGCATTGTCTCATCGTGCCTGTCATTGGGGGTATCTTCAAAGGTGTCATCTTGACTCCGGCTCAGGAAATGTCATAATCCCAGCAGCCTACATGCCGCTTTCTGCAATCTCTGCCTCTTAGAGATGGGGCAGCTGAGACTTGACTATGGGGAAGGGAGGATCTGGGAAGAGTCCCTGATGAGAGGAGAGGTTGTTACAGATGAACTCTGGGGGCCCAGCCACAGCCCTGACTATCTGCACTGGCACCTGCAGGGCCAGACAAGGGCTGGAAAAACACCTGGACGTTTCCAACCTTGCATGCTCTACACATGCCCCAGAGAGTTCTGGGTTCGCTCTTCTTCATTTTCCTGTAGAGAAGAAACCCCCTCCTGCAGAAGGATGAGCCTGGCCCAGGCTTCTGGGACTGTATGCGGGAGGGAGGGTGGGTGAGGGGAGTCACGGTCTTAATCATTCCCACGGCCAGTGTGCCCAGCTTTAAGGGGTTGCATGCTACATCTGCCCAGCTGTTTGGCAAACATCCTCCTTCAGTCACGAAGCTCACTCCCCTACAGAAGCAATGAGGTCCAGGAAATGAGCAGGGAACATCTGCAGCTTCTATCTTGGTTGACAGCTTGGAGCTGGGGTCAGAATGACCCGCATTCCAGCCCCATCTCTACTGATGCCCGCTCATAATTCCTTGGTCAGTCCACTCCCTGGACTCAGTAGTAGATTTTATTGTGCTAGGGATGTGGCCCAGTGGGTAGGGTGCTTACCCAGCATGCACAAAGCCCTTGGTTCCACCCAACACTGAACAAACTGAGTGAGATGGTGCACACCTGTATCCCAGAAACTCAGGAGGTGGAAACAGCAGGACCAGGAATTCAAGGCCATTATTGGCTATATAAAAAGTTCTAGGGTAGCCTGGGCTACATGAGACTGTCTCAAAAAAAAACCCTCCTCCAATAACAATAGACTCATGCCTGTCAACACTATTTCCATAGCCTGTGTCACCCCAAAGCTGATTTATGGAAACTTTACTTCTTCCATGTGGTAATGTGGAGCCCAGGGGAGGGGCTTAGGTCATGAGGCTGCACCCTCAGGAATGGGTTGCTAGTGTTTTTTCCTGGACTGAGTCAGTTCTCCTGCGACGAGCCTGCCCTCATGCTCTCCAGTTTGCTGGCTTCCCCTTCTGCTGTAGGACATTCCCAGAGCCCCCTGCAGGTGCTGTGTCACAGTCTTGGACCCATTACCCTCCAGAACTGTGAGCAGAAACAAACCTTTCTTCTTGATAAACCAGCTAGAGTCAGGTGTTGTCAGGTGTTAGGTGACAGCAGCAGGGAGATGAACGGACACCAAGCAGCAGCAGCCTCACCGGGAGGCCCACTGTGTCAGGAAGGGCCACCTCTGTGTCACCATGGGGGTTTGTTTGTTTTTTGTTTGCTTATCCAGAGCCAGCTTTTCCAGATAGGGTAAACTAGGGAGAGGAGGGACCCAGTGACACACACACACACACACACACACACACAGAGAGAGAGAGAGAGAGAGAGAGAGAGAGAGAGAGAGAGAGAGAGAGAGAGAGAGAGAGAGAGAGGTAAGCCTCAGAGTGACAAACCTGATGTCCTGCTCTGTCTGGCCCTCTACTCAGTGTCCTGCTGGAAACTGGGTGTGGGCGTGGCCAACCTGCCCAGCGGAGGCACAGGCAGCCTTCACTGATAATGACCGCCAGACTTCCGCTCTCTGCCCCTCCTAAGCAGCTGGTGGGTGATCTCTGCGTCTTCAGCCTCTTCCTGGTGTCTTAGCTGATCTTGCCTTGGGACTGAGAACTAGGGAACGAGGTGTGGTATCTACTGAGATGCAGCCATACATTGCTCACCGGGGCAGGAGGGGGCCAGGCGCAAGAGGCAGCTGCTTTGGGGTGGCATGCTCTCCCAGGGGAGACTGTCCTTGCATTTCTACCTCTGTGAAGAGACACCACAACCACAGCAACTCTTATAAAGACACACATTTAATGGGGTGGCTCGCTTCCAGTTCAGAGGCTCAGTTCATGACCATCACGGTGGGACATGGTGATGTGCAGGCAAATATATGATACCTCAAAGCCTGCCTGCATAGTGATGCGCTTCCTACAACAAGACCATACCCATCCCACAAGGCCACATCTCTTAATAGTGCCTCTCCCTGTGGGGCCATTTTCTTTCAAACCACCACAGAGACCCTCTCTCCCAGGATGGACTTCCCAGAACCTGGGGGTGGGAGGCTGAGCCTTAGATGTTGGGTCCAGGAAGCTCACCCCCCCCCCAACCAGGGGCTGTCCAGGTTATCAGAGTCGTGTTCCAGTAACCTGGTTAAAAACAGCTGGAGCTGGAGCTACAGGTCACTGGTTAAGAGCACTTGATGTCTTGCAGAAGGATCAAGCTTGGCTTCCCGCATCACATGGTGACTCACAGCTGTCTGCAACTGCAGCTCTAGGGGATCTGACGCCCTCTTCTGGCTTCTGCAGGCACTTGCACACATGTGACACACACACACACACAGGCACACATACACGTAAATAACAGTGTCTTTAAATGGACTGAGAGGATGGCTCAGGAGATGGCAGTGCTTGCTATGCAGTGTGAGGGATGGAGTTCGGGTTCCCAGCGCCCAGGTGAATGCCAGGTGAGTGGCAGCCCACCTGCAGTCTCGGGACACAGGAGACAGAGGGGTCCCTGCAGCCAGCTGGCTAGACTAGCTGAGTTCAGCAGAGAGCCTACCTTGATATATAAGGTAGAGAGCAATTGAAGAATCCACCTGATGTCAACTTCTGACCTCCACATACATGTATACATATGAGTACCCACACACATGTGAACATGCTTATACATGCATGCACACCATACACACACACACAGGCAAAAAGAGAACATTATTTTTATAAAAACCAATGACATAAAATATTCAAAGAAAAAGAAAAGCAGAAGAGAAGAGCTTGAGTGTTTTGTGACTGACATTTGATCTTGCCTTGTAGAGCAATGAAAAAGCCAAACCCTTTAGCTATTTCTGTCCTTCCAAGGAAGGGAGGGTGATTATCCCCCACCTATCATCTTTATCTATTCACCCTCCATCATCCATCTCTCCCTTCATCTGCCATCTGTCTGTCCATCTATCCATCCATATATCTATTCATATCTAATATCCATCCATCCATCCATCCTTCCATCCATCCATCCATCCATCCATCCATCCATCCATCCATCTATCATCTATTTATCTACCTATCTATAATTTGTCCTTCTGTCTGCCTGTATTTAAATAGCGCGGGCTATTATCTGGCACAGAAACAACCAAGGTCTGGGCAATGGTTCAGGGGACAAAATGTCACCACACAAGCATGACCCCTGAGGCTGTTAAAATATATCAAATCCACAGATAGCAGAATGTGTGAATCTCAGCTGTGTGCTCTCAACAGACGACACACCATGGAACCCACACTCTTTTCAGGGTCCAAGCCACTGCCATCCCCCTCTGCCCTCTTCAAGTTCCTCTGCTCCTCAGGCAACTTCTCTTCATGATGCCCTCCCAAGTCTGGCTTCTTTCTCGTGCTTCCTTCATGCGAGCCCCTCCCACACTCTTACCTGATGGTTTCATCTGTTTCATTGCTGAGCTTGGGAACTGATCACAGTAGTTCCCCAGTATCGACACCTTCGCTTCCCACACTCCAGTTCCCAACAATCCACTAGGAGCCAAGAAAATTCTAGAAACCACCCCCTAGTTTTAGACACCATACTATCCTATGCAGAAGGATGGGGCCCCACACCACCCTTCTTCTTCCTCCCCAGGAAGTGAGAAATGCCTTCTACATAGTATCCACGTTGTATATGCTGCCTGCCTGCCTGTAAGTTACTTTTTAGCCATTAGACTCAGCACTCAACAAACGCTGTTTGTCTGGCAGTTACCAGGTTCACCGAACTCTGCCTCCAGCTTGGACTGTTGGTACCTGATCTCTGTGAGCACAAGTGTTTTCAGTTCACTTGCTTAAATGGCTATGAGCAGAAATTTAAACAGCTATTTAAGAAACGTGTGTTCTCTTCTGAGGCGCAGTGACTTCGAGTTCTTCAAGTTCCACCAGCCTTGGAGGGGCATCCCCCTGCCCCACATTCGGTCCATATATCCAGTGTGTGGTTCTGCAGCTTTCCCCAGAAAGATGGACTCTCTGGGGAGCTTCGAGCTTACTGCGTGGCTTGGGGCTTGCTGCTCGCTGTGTGCTCCAGAATGGAGCAACTGTTTCCTGTTGCATTTGTTTTCCCAGGATCCCTTTCCTGGGAAAGGGGTGGAATGGCAGGGTGGGGATTTCTTAGCGGGGGCTTGAGACCACTTTTGGAATGGGGAATGGATTCGCTGGGAAATACACCCGTGTCTCTTTCTTCCTACAGATATTGGTCCGGTGACCCTCACAGCAGATCCGGTGGTGTTCCAGAGAGAACTGAGAGAACTCTACGTTCAGGTGGGCTGTCCACCATCTTCAGGGTTCTTCCTCTTCCTTGACAGAGCCAAGATGGCCTCTTCCCTTCCTCCCTCCCTCCCTCCCTCCCTCCCTCCCTCCCTCCCTCCCTCCCTCCCTCCCTCCCTCCGTCCCTGCCTTGCCCCTCCCTCAGCCTGTGGCCCATACCCCAGGTTGGGTCCTGGAAGCCTGTCCCTCTTGGGCTCCTCTCCTCATTCCTTGGAACAAATACGTCGCAGAGCCCTGATGTAGTGGGTGCTATCTTAATGAATGAATGAGTGAGAGGGAGGTGCAGCTCCACCTGAGGGTGTGTGTGGAGGCTTAAGGGACAGCTCAGTCC